CCTGACACTTTCCAATCTCCCATCCTCTTAGTGATTAGATAAGTAAGGCCATTAGAAAACCTTAGCTTTATTAAGTCTTCTTTGTAAGGGCGTCAGTTTTCCTTGTAGTAAATTATTCTTACTCTTTAATAAGGAAGAAGGAAAGTTGATTCGTGAGTAAGTCTTGTGAGTAAGTGAGTAAGTCTTCCCCAATTTTTTTTAGAGTGAGTCGTCCTCGTGAGTCAGTTAGATTTAATTAGTCCCTCTTTTGGTAATTCTTCACCGTAAGTCTTTCTGCTCTTAAGTCAGTGGGGTCTTCTTCGTACAGAGCGAGTCAGTCAGTCAGTCAGTCAATAAGTCAGTCAGTGCGTAATTTTTGAATAGAAAGTCTTCTCGGAGTAATATCTCTGCCGGAACTTCTGTCTTTCCGGCGGCCTCGTCATCTTTAGGGTGTTCCTTATCATATCTCATAAAAAAGATTAAAAAAAAAAGATACTGCATCCTCGTTCCCGATCTGAGTCCCTCCCCCTCTCCTCTTCTCCTCTCTTCCCTCTCCTCACCTCCCCCTCCCTTCCTCCCTTCCTCCCTTCCTCTCTCCCCCTTCCTCCTCTCCTCTCCTCTTTCCCTCTTCCCCCTCCTCCCTTCTCCCCTTCCCCTTCCCCTATTCCCCTCCCTCCCCTCCCCTTCAACTCCCCTTCCCTCCCCTCCCTCCCCCTTCCCCTTCCCTCCCCCTTTCCCTCCCTTCCCCCCCTCCCTCCCCTTCCCTTCCCCCTCCCCTCCCTCCTTCCCCCCTTCCCACTCCCTCCCCTTCTCCTTCCCCTCTCCCTCCCTTCCCCTTCCCCTTCCCCTCCCCCCTCCCCTTCCCCCCCTCCCCCCTCCCCCTCCCCCTTTCCCCTCCTCCCCTTCCCCTCCCCTTCCCAAAAGCAGCCTTCTTGCGACCGCCACAAAAGACGCCCAAACGCGACGCAGCGAATGCATCTTAAGTGGAATGTTTACGCGCATTATGCCGGGCCGCCTCGTCAAGTCGAATTCAGCTGGGGCGTTAAGGGCGCTTATTCATAGGGTGTGAAAGGCATTTTGGTCCTTGTGTCGTTTCTGTCACGAACAGCTGCTGCAGTTTTTTTTTTTTTTTTTTTTTTTGTGCTTTCGTTTTTTGTTTGTATTTTTGTTTCTTTCTTTTGATATGAACATTATCATTATTTTTAATATTATTATTGTTACTATTCTATTATCATTATTATTTATTTCTATTACTATTATTAATTATTATTATTAATTAATTAATTTATTATTAATTTTATTAATAATAATATATAATTAATTATTAATCATATTATTATTACTTATTATTGCTTTTATTATAATTATATCATTGTAATTATCATTAGTATTTGTATTACTATTACTATCATTTCATCATCATTATTTATCATTATTGTTGTAATTATTATGCGTTTTTTTCCGTTATGAGTATTATTGTTTGTTTGTTTTTTCAACTCAATTTGGTGCGTTTAAAATATATTTATTTAAGCCTTATATTTTTTTCTACTATTTTTTTTTTTTTTCTATTTGGCCGGTCGGAAAAATCGTTCAATAAAAAAAAAAAAAAAAAGAATAACGAGACTGACGTTTGCTGACGTTGCTTGTCATCCTCCTCCCTTCTCTGGTTTTCTCCCCTCTCCCCTCCCTCCTCCCCTCCCCTCCCATTTATCACCCCTCTCCCTCCCCTCCCATTTATCACCCCTCTCCCCCTCTCTCCTTGCCTTCACTCTACCTGCTCGCGCCTCTCTAAGTTCGTCTCTCTCCTCTCCTCCTCTCCTCTTCCTTCTTCTTCTTTCTTCTTCTTCCTCTTCTTCTCTTCTTCTCTCTTCTCTCTCTCTTTCTCTTCTCTCTTTTCTCTTCTCTTATCTTCTCCTCTCTTCTGCTATCTTATCTTCTCTCTTCCCTCTTCCCTCTCCCTTCTCCCTCCGCACCTCTTTTCCCTCCCTCTCTTCCCCCTTACCTCCCTACCCTTCTCCTCTTCCTCCTCCCTCATCTCTTTTTCTCTCTCCTTCCTCTTCTCCATTCGTCTTCCGTGGCCTCTTCCTATATCCTTTCTTTCCTTTTATCCCCCGTCTTTATCCTTTATGCCTGATTCTTCCCCTCTTTATCAGCTCCTCATGAATTTTTCTCATCTCCTTCAGGTCCAACTTTGAAATTTTACGTTGTCATGAATACTACATAATTCTCTCCTCTTCTTCGTCCTGTGCCATTCCCCTCGTTCTGTTTTGTTTTTTATCTGTGCCTACTTCCTTTCTTTTGTTTGAGATTATGTGTTTTGTTTTTATTTTATTGCCAATTCCTGCGCATTTCTTCTCGTTTCTTTTATTTAGTTTTCCTTCTCCGCTGCCTTGAACTTTTTGTGGCAGTTTAAAGAGAGAATATTGAGATAGAGAGGGGAGGGGAGGGAGGAGAGGGAGGAAGGGAGGAGGGAGAGAGGAGAGGGGAGGAGAAGAGAGAGGAGAGAAAAGAGAAAGAGAGAAAAGGCGAAAGAGGCGAAAGAGAAAAAGGCGAAAGAGAAAGAGAGAAAAGGCTAAAGAGAAAGAGAAAGAGAGAGAGAGAGAATCACTTTGGTTTTAGAAATTTCTTGTATCTTACTATAAATCGAATCAGGCTTCATGACTGTGACAGTTTTCGGTCTCGGAATTTTTATGTGATTATATTTTTAAGTGTGTGTGTCCACAGGTAATGTATATGCTTATCACTATATTAAGACATAGCTTATATTGTTTCTTCCTTTTTTTCTATAATTATGAATTTTGAAAATATATGTAGCAAAATATTATCATGTATTTTCCCCCATATAATTGTTTTTTTTTTTTTTTACTTATTATTATCATTATAACTTTTACGTATGATCATCATTATAATTATCATTATAACTTATTTTTACTTATAATCATATTTTTTTTAACGTAGCGAAATATCACCACGAAACATTCACGCCCCCCTCTCCCCCCCCCCCGCAGTCTGGCCGGCATGTCTCGCTCGGTGACGGTGGCGGTCGTGTACGTCATGTGCGTGACCTCGCTCAGCTGGAGGGACTCCCTGAAGGCGGTCCGTGGCGCCAGGAACGTCGCCAACCCCAACGTGGGATTCCTCAAGCAGCTGCAGGACTTCGAAACGGACCGCATGAACGATGTGAGTTTCTGAGGGTTGGAGGGAGGAAGGAGGGAAGAAGAGGAGGAAGGAGGGAGGGAGAGGAAGGAGAGTGAGTTTCTGAGGGTTGGAGTTGGAGGGTTGGGTGAGGTGGAGGGAGGAAGGGAGGAAGGAGGTGGAGGAGGAGTAAGGAAAGGGGAAGAGGAGGAGGAGGAAGAAAGAAGAGGAAGGGAGGGTAAGAGGAAGGAGAGCAGGAAAGGGGGGAAGGAGGTTAAGAGGAAGGAAGTGTAGGAGTAAGGAAAGGGGAGGAGGAAGGAAGGGTAAGAGGAAGTAAGTGCAGGAGTGAGGAAAGGGGAGGTAGGAAGAGGAAGGAGAGGAGGAAGAAGGAAGAGAAAGGGTAAGAGGAAGGAAGTGCAGGAGTAAGGAAAAGGGAGGAGGAAGGAAGGAGAAGATAAGGAGGGAAAGGAGGAGGAGAAGGAAGGGAGGTGGAAGGAAGAGGAAGAGGAGGGGCCGTGAAGGAAAGGTATGTACAAGGTATCTACATCTAACATTTTTGGAACTTTTTAACCAAACGTGTAGGTTTTCAAGTTTTAAAAAATATATACATATATGCATAAATATATATTATATCTCTTCTTTTCACGTGAGGAGAATCAGCTGAAACGAAAAAAAAATAATCGTTGGGGGATTTTTGGGTCAACTTTTTCGCTCTCCTTCTCTCTTCTCTCCCTAGTCTTTGTAAAGTTTGAGGATCTGTGTCAACATAGGTTTATTAAGTCAAGTTCAGCGGAAGCTTTGGAAATATGTGAAATCTGAATGTTGATTTTGTTCATCCCTTTTGTTCCAAGAATGATCACTTCTCATTTCAGACGTAAGTTCCCACTTGAGACCTATACTTATATTTCTCTCCCCCTCCCTCCCCCTCTCCTCTACTTGTGACTTTATCTACATCTGTGTGGCCCCCTCCCCTTCCCTTTATTTACCCTTCCCCCGCTTCCCTTCCTTCCCCCTTCCCTCTTCCCCCTTCCCTGCCATGTCCCTTCCCTTCCCTGCCACCTTTCCTCTCTTTCCTTCCCTTCTCTCCCCTCCCTCCCCTCCTTCCCTTCCCTCCCTCCCTGCCCTCCCCTTCCCCTCCCCTCCACTGCCCTCCCCCTTCCCCTCCCCTCCACTGCCTCCCCTTTCCTACTCGTGGTTTATTTACCTTACTCTTACTCTTCACCCTCTCCTACTTGGAACTTATTTACCTTTCTGTAACCCCTTCCCTTTCCCTCCTTATGGCTTGTTTACATTCCCCTTGTCCCCTCACATATGACTTGTCTCCCCTTTTCTTTCCCCTTCTCCCTCCACCCTTCACCCCCTTTTTCCCTTTCCCTTTCCACTCTTCACCCTCTTTCCTCCTCTCCCCTTCCCCCTTCTTCGTCCCTACCTACTCCCTCCCCCCTCTTTTGTCCCCCCTTCCCCTCTCTCGCCCCCCTTTCCTCCCTTCCCCCCTTCCCTTTCTCGTCCTCCCTTCCCTCTCCGTCGTCCCCCCTCCCTTCTTCCCCCTTACTCCCTTCCGCCTCCCTCGCTCCTTCGTACCCCTCCCTCCCTCCTACCCCCTTACCTCCCTCGTCCCCCTTACCCCCTTACCTCCTTCCCCCTCCCCCCTACCCCTTACCCCTTCCCCTCCCCTCCTGATCCCCTCTTTCTCTCTCTCTCCACTTGCAGGAGCGGCGCCGCCTCAAGGCCAAGTACCCGAGCATGAAACTGGAGGAGGAGGACGAGCAGATGGCCAAGCAGCTCCTGGCCTCCTACTACCACTCCCTCAGCGTCGGGGAGATGTGCGAGGGCAACTGTCCCGTGGGCGTGACCTGTCCGAGGGGCCTCTGCCACCCGACGAGGAGGTGAGGGCCTCTGTGGGCGGGGGGACGCAGGCGGGAACTCAGAAGGAGGCGCAGGAAGGAGAGAAAAAAATATGGACTCGCAGGAAGGAAGGGCGAAAGGGGACGTCAGGAGGGGGGCCACGAGGGAACAGCATCAGAGAGCAGGAGGGGATAGAAGGGGGGAGGGGGAGGACTTGAAGGAACAGCAGCGATGGAGAAGTTTGGGGATTTGAAGAAGAATGGATGGCGGAGAATGATGAATAACGATGTGTTTGGTCGAGTTTGCTACTGAGAACCGCACATTGAGAGAGAGAGAGAGAGAGAGAGAGAGAGAGAGAGAGAGAGAGAGAGAGAGAGAGAGAGAGAGAGAGAGAGAGAGAGAGAGAGAGAGAGAGAAGAGAGAGAGAAGATAAGAGAAAAAAAAATGAAAGAAAGAAAGACGAAGAGAGAAAAAAAAAAAGAAAGATAGATAACGAGAGAGAATTATATTTTCCTAATCTATCAGACAACTTGATATAACTTTAATAAGTAAAGCCAAGAAAGATAATGGATGATGAATGAACAGATAAAGATTAAGATATAACCAAAGTTCTGAGATAAAAAATAGGATTATGGAAACTGCAACTAATATTTAAATAAAAAAATAATAATAATGAGAACATAATAGTGATAACGATATTCAGAATAATGTTGATAATGATGATAATGATCCTGATAATGATAGTAACAGTTAATGATAATGTTGATAATGATAATGACCATGATTATAAACAAAGATAAAAGATAATCACCTCTCTGAGTAATGAATAAAAAGACGGGAATCATCTCTCTTTGTAAAATGTATTAATGTTGTTGTAAGGAAAAACTCTTAATTACTGGATTGCTAGTTGTGTGATTCTGTCATTTAAATCTGGAAATGCATGGCGCATCACACCCGTGTGTGTGTGTGTGTGTGTGTGTGTGTGTGTGGTGTGTGTGTGTGTGTGTGTGTGTGTGTGTGTGTGTGTGTTGTGCGCGCGCGCGTGTGCGTGTGCGTGTGTGTGCGTGTGTGTGTGCGTGTGCGTGTGCGTGCGCGTGTAGACATGTGTGCGCGTGTGCGCGTCTGCATGTACGCGTGTGTTCTCAGAGATGACCCAGCGCCCGCGTTTCGTCTCGATCGGCACTGACCCTCCTCTGTGCTTGGGTCCAACCTGTTAACGAAAATAAATGCTTTTTCGAGCTTTCTTACTGCAAACTTCACAACAAGCCATTAAGTTGATTGTTATTCTGTGTTTTTGTTAGTGTAACAGATTATATTAATAAACTGCATCGCATGAAAATGTTGTACAGGTTGAAAAGAAAATTGTTCAGTGTTATAAAACCTGCATGTTCTAAAGAGAAATTAAAATAACTGGTATTCTTTTTGTGTGTTGTTTTGTAAATAGTGCCGGAAATAATTAATGTTGGAGTGAAGAAATGAAAAGAAAAAACATAATTTAAGAAAAAGGTATAAGTACATTGTTTTTGTTTCATTTGAGTGTTTTTGTTTTTGAAGAGGTTGCATGATGTTGAAAAGTTTTTTTTTTTCTGAAATAATTAAATTAACGTAATATAAACTTTCTGCCTCCTAAGTAAGATCTATAGAGTTCAGTGATAAAGTCAATTGCGTCTGTTCCAAATTACTCCATGAATAATGATCCATCTGATAAAATGTTGAAAGAATTGGCACGCAAAAAAATACGTACTTCATCACTTTATTTAAACCGCTTGTCAGGTGACCGTTACATGAGACTGTTGTGGTTTCTAACCTTTTTCCACTTCGCTTGTTACAAAAAATAGACACCGTTATCGATTCTTTACATTCATTTAGGTCTTAATGTTTAACGTTTTTTTCTGAAGATGATAAATGCGGATACATCGTTTGAAAAGATATTTCTAACAAAGGATGAACATTCTGCGAGGACTTTGGTATTTGTTCACAGAAGGGCTGAAAAAATGCCCATGACATTTGGAAGCTTTGCATAGAAACAACCCGCGTTGCAAGAAATAAATCTTATATAAAAAGCCTTTACTAATATCACGACGAATTTTGAACGGTTGCTTCTTAAGCCTTACATAGAAAAAAAATCATTGCAAGAGGATAATTCATAAAAAAAATGCTACTACCTTTCCAACTTTTTCAACTATTAACACTACTTTATATCAAGTAAAGTCTTTACTAATATCACGATGAATTTTGAACGGTTGCAGACAGAGCTAAGACTTGACCTTTTAGTTTGACCTTTGGGAGGAAGAGCGAGCGAGAACAGACCGTTTCTAGTTATAACTCGATGCATAGATTCCACCGTGATTTAGGCCTACATGAAGACAAAAGCTGGATTCGGATATAGGCCTATTCATGATTTGCCAAACACTTAAGGGGACCTTAAAGAGATCCGAAGAAGTCGAGACAAAGAGTAATTTGAATAATGCAGATTCACATACTAATCAAATTCAGTTTCTAATTAAAGTCAATTATTCGTTATTTTCTTTTAGGTCATGGTTTCCCGTTTTCAATTTCGAGCTTTATTACTATTTTGTTGTCGCTTGTCATCGAATTGCAATACTAATATAAATGAATATATATGTACATACATATGTGTGTCTGTGTCTGTGTGTGTGTGCATGTGCGTGTGTTTACTATTGATTATATATTCATACGCTGTATTTATATAACATATGATATAGATCATATATAATGTCATTTATATTATATATAATTATAATATATGTATGTACATATATATCGATAAGTGCGCGCGCGCGTGAGAGAGTATATAAATATGTGTACATACCAGACGGTGTGTGTGTGTGTGTGTGTGTGTGTGTGTGTGTGTGTGTGTGTGTGTGTGTGTGTGTGTGTGTGTGTGTGTGTGTGTGTGTGTGTGTGTGTGTGTGTGTGTGTGTGTGTGTGTGCGTGTGCGTGTGCGTGCTGCGTGCGTGCGTGCGTGCGTGCGTGCGTGTGCGCGCACATATACATAAGCGGCGCATCCCGGTGCTCAGTAACTTAACCGAATTATCATAATCAGCAACCATTAAAAAATAAACATTAATTATGTATGAAACTGCCTCTTCGTGAAGTGTCTGCGTTCCTTTGTGTTTGTAAGTCTTGTTGCATCGCTTTACGTTTTTCTTTTTTTCCTTTAATTTAGCAATAAATAATCACTGAAAGTTTTCCTAACATCTGTTGACTTAGGGGCTGCAGTTCTTTTTTATTAGTTCTTTTTTAGCGCATTGTGGTCAGTATGTATTGCGCAATTAATCTTTTTAAAAAATGAACTTGTTTTGTTCTGCCAAACGACATTAATTTGTGACCCAGTGCTCTTTTTCTCGTGACGTCATGCAATCGTCCTCCCATGACGTCACGACCACTGCAGCCTAGTGTTACGTCACGATGTTTTTTGTTTTGTTTTTTTGCCAGGATCTCGTGACATGTTGCTTACCTGTTGTGATGTGCAGTCACGTGCAAAAGTCTTGTATCATGAAAGAAGCTTCGAACGCCCTAATGTAAAGCACAATGGCTATTTATCTAGACCCGTTCGAGACAAATTTCGAAGCACGTTTCATTAGACTTTTGGCCGTGACTGCGCAGTTAAAAGACCATTATTTACGAGAAGTTCCTTGTACACCTTTAATCTCTTACATCTGTTGACGTATATGTGCTTATCTTCTTGTCAGTTCTTTGTGTATTTCAGATCCTCAGGCTTGGTTGTGAGTTTGGTGTATTAATGTGTGTTTTTTATCATTTTTGTTCTCTTCACGTCATGACTTGTGTTTCCACATAGCCTGTTCAGACGGCCCTCATCCAAGAAATCGCCGGCTACGAGCAAAAAGAAATAATTATAATTCAGCCATGGTAGTATGTTGTCTTTTATAACACATGCACCCACTAGACAGAGCCACCACTTACTCAACACTTGCTACTCTGTAGTGTCCCTTATTCTGCCAGTCTCACCTTCGCCACCTCATCCTCATCTTCATGTCTTGGTACTGTCACTATCCATGATCATGTGGCACGTGTCTACTCACACACGGCGTCATTTCTGTCTTTTGCTTAGAGGTGTCACCTCATCTTCATGTCACGTGTTTACTCTCACTCGTTATCTCTATCTATCACTGGCACTGGTCTTATCAGTTGGGACTGTCATTGTCACTCGTCACCTTATCTATCTATCTATCTATCTATCTATCTATCTATCTCTCTCTCTCTCTCTCTCTCTCTCTCTCTCTCTCTCTCTCTCTCTCTCTCTCTCTCTCTCTCTCTCTCTCTCTCTCTCTCTCTCTCTCTCTCTCACGCACTTTGCACCTTTACTGAAACATAACACCTTCGCTTCGCTGACTTTGCATTATGTATCGACTTCAATATTAACTTAATAGTATGACTTCAGTGCCTTTCTTGACTATATTGCTTCGAAAAGAGTGAACGTTTTACAAAGATTAAATACCGTTTGTGGAATCAGATGAAGAAAACGTTTTCCATTAAGAGGGAGTTCTTTAAAGAGTAAAAAAAAGAAAAAGAAAAAATACTCAGAGAGAAGCAAAACGAAGATAATAGTAATAAAATCATCTGAATTGCCTGCATTTTAATTCGTTCAACATACATGTCTCCCGCAAAAATGATAGGTGATAATAATAGCAACAGTAATGATAATAATAATAAAGTTTCTACGAATTAGCTTTTCTTCTTCATTTCTGTCAGTCCTTCTTTATTTCTGTCCATGCTTTTTTCATGTGAAAGTCGAACTCCTCTTTAAATACGGAGCGAAAATCAGAGAAATTGCGAATCTCTCCTCGCCAGTAAAATACTTCATTTTATCGCATTTGACTTTCATATGATTCCTTCAAAAACACTTATTTGCAAATTAACAGTAGATGAAATAAAATCGATAAAGAAAAAATAATAAACTTGCCAAACCAGCGAATGAAATGAAAAAATGATGCCAAATATTACGTTTTCATTATTTCTCTGTTGTGATCAGAAATTCACGGGCCGACCTAACACA